CAGCAAAACCACCACAGACTCTAATGGTGGCTTTAATCCCTAATAGAGTCTCTAATAGAGTTAGCTTAATCTAGCTACTACAATACTGATTCTTCCATGTAAAATTGCTGAACTAGATCCAAGAGAGGGTGGAAGATGTTTGCACTGGAAAAGCTGATCAAACAGTTTCCTTGAGCAATTCTGTCAAGGAGCTGTTGCTCACAGGTGACTAAAATGATTTGTAAAAGGGTAAAATGAAATGCAGAAGACTGACATGGAAGCCCTTTCCTCTGCCCTTAATTCAGGATGCTGATGCTCCAGCTGTGTATTAGCTGAAACATTGTTCCTCCCAGTTCTTGCATCAGACTCTCACATCTCTGGGACAGAATGAAAATTTTTACTTTACATGAGAAAACAGAAGAATTTCACCTTAAAAAAAAAAAAAGCAAACAAATTGCACCCACATTTGTGCTGTTTTCACCTGCTTGGGGGGGGGTGGGGTGTTAATTCCAGTCAGCCATTCACAGAAAAATCCATAAAGCAATCTACATCTCAGCTCTCTTCTGACTCCTGCAGTCTTTCCTACCTGCTTCCTGAAAGTGCTGTTAGTACAAAAATAACCAAAGCATTTTTAAATCTTACAGTAGCTTGTAGCATTGACATAACCTACAAGCTTGGACGAGTTGTATTTTATTAATGTGTTGAGCTGGAGGCAGAGTCCACTCTCCTCTCAGAGACGTTGATCAGTGTAAAGTGCCACTTCCCAACCAGGAGCTGCTCTGAATAGTTTGTGTGTCATTGATAGCTTTTTCCCTGCCTACATGGACAAATGTCAAATAAAAACATTACCAGTGACGTTGCTAGGCATGAGCGGCACTGAGAGAAATCTTTCCTATCTACGTCTCTGGGTTATTGAACTCTTTTCAAACAAGGGCCTGGGGGTAGAAGCTGTGGAATTGGTTGAATTTTTAGCATTATTCTTATATATTTTGAGAGCAGTGTATTTTTTTTTCCTATTATAACTCTTCCTCCTGTTCAGTTAGAGTTCTCTACATGGCCTCATCTTTCCAATCCAAAATAAGAAAGGCAATATGTACATGTTCTGGAAAATTATATGATGACCTTTCTGCATTTTTCATGTGATACTCAGGGATGATGCTTGTCTAAACCATGGAGGAACTTCTCAGTTCAACTAAAAAGGCAGCTGTGTCATGTAGGTGCGAAAAATAGCTTATCCATACACTATTATCATTGTAGTAAAGAGGAATTAAGCTGCAAAATACCTATTAGGAGTTTAAGATTAATAGAATATAACCCCTACCTTATGAAGTTATTTTAGTGACACTGCAGTGCGACTTATAGATATGATTAAATGGGTTTCAAGTGTTTAAAGACCTAAACAAGTTTGATTGATTTTTATGTTCTCAGATTTCCTGGCTTCCCTTAGTGTTGTAACAAATCTGCGTTGAGCACATTTTCCTAGTACTCATTGTTCATTTTATATTCATTTCCAGGGTAGATGGGATTTGTGTTATATTTTTAGACAATTCATTACATCCTCAAAATGCGATCATTCAGGAGCACTACACTGGTGGTTTTTTTCCTGAGATAGAATGGACATTTTACTGTAAGTGAGAATCTAAGTATTTGGTTGACAAAGGAATTAAAGCCAGTGATAAAAATGATAGTCTCTTATTTCTGCACATGTTTAGTGCGAAATCAATATACCAATAAAGTCCTTGCCTGGAATTACAGTGGGTTAGAGGCTACTAACCAAACCTTAGAATCCCAAATACAGGTTTGTACTGATTCGAAGCACCATGAGATGCCTTTGCTACAGAATTAGCATTCACCTGAAGTCCAAGGGCCTTGGGGGTCTTGTTTGCTGAGTTAGTTACTTCCATCCTGCCTAGGACTTTACTTTGCTGTAAAGTTTTATTTTAAAAGGGGAAAGAAAATGTCAAACGTGAAATCAGATTATGTAGCAGTAAACCACTAAGTGTAGTTATCCACTTATGTAGTTATGCACTGCAACTGTGCATTTGAGGCTCTAGTTATTTTATTTTGGTTTTTCAGGGTCTGTGTACATCAGAGTTAGGCTACACTTGCAGCTTAGAGCCTGTTTTGCCAACCAGGTATCCAAATACTGTCTCCAGCATCTTTTAACCCACCTGAAGTTCAGTGAGTGGGTTAGTCTAAAAGGCCCATTTTTCCCTGCACGTTCACTGACACAGCAAATAGGGAAACTGGATCTTCACAGCAGGGCTAGGCAAATCCACCAGTGTGCTTATCATTTAGATTAGCTGCTCTGTGAACTCTCTGTATTTGCATATAGGAGACAGGAAACCTGAGGGCAGTTTTAAAGTGGAGGAAATGGATCTTCTTTTAACAGCAACTGATGATGCTGCTAATTGAGTGAGAGATTATCTGGATAAATGTTCAAGACATCAACAGTACAGTAAAAAAGAAAGGGATCCCTACTGTAATGCATATCTTTATAATGCTTTTTCTATTTATATATGCTAATGGCACAGGTATTCAAGAGCATGCTGTAACATATACTGTTCTTTATTTGCTCTCTGTAGTAACTGATGATTTCAAGTTGGGACTGGAAGTGTCATCCTTGACAGCATTAGTGTGATCCAAAATCTCATATGGTAATAGTTTTTGATAAAAGCAGTGACTGGATCACACTAAAGAATTCAATACCTTGATGTTATAAGTGCAAGAATCAGCTTTTTACGTGTCACTATGACATAGCAGCTCCTTGGGATCTGTACAGGACTAATGCATTTTGTCAGACTACGCAGTCTGTACAAAGAGGCTGGTTTGGAAAGCTTCACCTATGGCTTTTGTCTGTCAGAGCAATATTTAGTGCCATATGATCATGGAACTGTTAATTTAGGAATAAGAGCTTTTAATTAACAGACAAACTGAGTATTTTTGAGTTGTTTTTCTTGCGTTTGAGATGATGGTTATGCAAAGACCTGTTTTTCTTAGGTGTAATCAGCTGTTAGAGAAAATCAGTGTTCTGAGTTGGATCTTTCTGTAGATGCTCAGAATTTTAGATGTGCTTTCGGAATACTAGGGTTTTGCAGTTTACTGACTCTTCTGGCCTGAGACCTAAGTTCTCTTAGACCACTGTCGTGAGTTCTTGCATGCATGTCGCAACATGGTTCCCTAAAAGCTTTCTATTGATATAAATAGCCTGGGTTATTCCACTCCCTAATAGCATACGGAATCCTGCTGGTGTGCTGAATAATGATTTAGCAGCTGGATGGAAGACTTGTTACTCATCTTCTGTTCCTGGCCTTGAGAAAAGGACGTTCCTAGTTGCTGTAGTGAGAATGTGTACCTTCTCCTCCCCTGTTCTTATGTTTGAAAGAGTGAGTCATTTTTGTGTCTATAAATTCTGTGAAGTGCTGCCGTAGATTCTCATGTTTGGTGCTGACTCTGGAGATGGCTGCTAGGGACTCATACGCAGTCATGGACTCAGCCACCTGGTTCTCACGCTGTGCTTCTCTAAGCTGTGGGTGTTTGCAACATAACCTTTCTTAACCAGCTCACTCATCCAGGATTCGAGCTGCAGCTGGATGCATACCTGTGTGGTCTGCGGAATGGCCATACCTGGCAGAAGACCTAGGAAAGCAGAAAGGTCAAAGCTCTGTGCTGTAACAGAGGATGTGCCAGCAGCCAGAGTTCTTCTAACACTTGACTCTGTGTATGTACTGTGTGACATGAAGCGTAAGGGTAGCACAGAACTGAAGTCTGGTGAACGTGTTTACCACAGATCAGATTGTTTCACAATGGGCAGCATTCCAGTAGGTATTAGCACGATTTCTTTGGAAGGCCTTTGCTTGAAGGTTTGATTTCTCTTAAGCAACCACTGATGGGCTGCTATCATAGCAACAGGTCAGTGCAAAGCATTACAAGTACTTTTTTAAAGGAGAAAATCTTCATCAAGATTGCATATGGCCACATGTGCAGCTGGCTTTATGGATGAGTGTATAGAGTAGGTCTAGAAAAAGTCCACTCTTCTGTATTCCAGCAGATGAATGACTCCTTTTTTGTCAACATGGCTCCAGCAGAACTTCATCTTGGCACTGTATTTCCTTACATGTACCCCTTATCAATCACTGTAGACAGTTTCATGATGTCTTGGGAAGGAGAGGAGAGGCTTTGTCTCAGTGCTGCATAAATTGATGGAATTTTTTTGCCCTCCCCCTCCTGTATTTTCTGCTTATTTGGGTTGTTTCTCAAAGAAATAAAAAACAAAATACAAAGGTACAAATACTATCGTGCAGTAAATGTTAGGGGAACGACTTTGCAACTGGTTTAAAATATTCAGTTTAAAATAGAAAAAAAGAGTTTATCTGTGTAAGTAAGTAGAGAAGCATTACTCATGAAAAATTAGCATTTCATGATAGCACAAAAAGTGTAGTTTCATTTTGTAATCTCTTAAGGCTTTGATGCATTTTCTCTGGTCTGATGCCTTTTCTCTGGTCAGTTGAACAAAGTCCCTAGGTATTCTAACCATTTTTTTCTTCAAAAAAGTAAGTACATTTTGTGTTTATAAGAGATACCAGAAGTGGTGTCTCTTTTAAATTTTTAAGTGGCCCAGCAGTGTAAATCATATTTACATGAACAGTTTGTCTATGCCCTAAATTGCATAGTCAGCATGAGATTTTCCTCCTCTGCTATGATGAGACAACAGGGAAGAGGGAGAGCAGTTCAGTCTTCACACCCCTTTAATCATCTGCTGAAAGTGAGATCATGACTTTTTTTTGTGCTGAGAAACAGACTGAGACCACAAGTTTATTCCATTTCATATAAACCACCTATTTATTGTACAGCAACAGCTTTTTGTCTCTCTGATGGGAATTTGCTTTCAGGCAGTGTCTTAGCACTGCAAAGTATCATTTTCCCTTACTAATATTTTATTTTCCTGTTAATTTGATGCAAATTTGATGTAAAAAATTGTAGTCAGCAGAAAACACAGTTTCTTTTCCAACTTCTTGTAGGAGTTCTTCATATTTTCTGCAGAGTTGGGAGAAAAATGCAAAGCAATAAGTGAGAAATTGGTGCACCTGGAAGATCAATTGCAAAGTTCTGCCTGCAGAGTTGATGAAGGAGTTATTCATATCCTTTTTGATACAGCTACAGGTATGTATCAATCTATGTAAGTATGTACGTGGAATACTTGCCTTTCAGGTTCACATGGAATACTCGTTTTTAATACAGATTGAATACATTAAGAAGGTGAGAATTATTGTCTTGCCGAAGCAGGTGTTTCTGTTGTAGCAAGTTTTCCTACCATGAACTTTCACTGTGGTCTGATCCAGCCTTTATTGATTTAAACAGAAGTTATTTCTGTGCACACTGAGATTAGGCACTGAAAAGCCTTTATTCTACTGTTAAAATCCTTTTGTTAGTAACACTCGTATAAGTAAATGCCTAGCACACTAAAAGCTGCATGGATACATTTCGCAACATGATTTAGCCAAATTAAATGCTACATCATTGACTCAAATTGTGCATATGTCACTTGTAGTTTGGGGGTTTTCCCTTTAAAAAAGTGGGCAGCAGGTTCATCATGTGGCATCCTATGCAATTTAATCTGCCTCCAACTCTCCAGTGCAAGTAACCAGATAAGATGTTGTCTTATAAAGCACCCATATCTTTCTATGCTTCATCTGTCATTCCTTATCTGATTGAATATTGCTTAACTTTTTTGAGGTATTCATTGGGCATTTTTCAAAATTTAAGAGCACAGAGTGTTGTTTCATTTGTAACTTTCATAGAAAAGCTTATCACAAAAGAGATTTTGTTCAGCCAAGAAAGAGAAAAAATAGTAAGAACCAGTGAGGCTAAGGAAGATGAGAGTACTTAGCTGGTTAGGTTTTAAAGGAAAAGAGGTGGCAGGCAATGGGATAATGAGGAAAGATGAATAAATTCAGGTTGGAGAGATTAAGAGAAGAGCCTTTACAGACACCTGAAGGTGATTTGAGGTGAAGAAGGATTCAGTTCCTCCTGAGTTAGGCAGGCCTGCAGGAGAGGGTTTAGAGAGAGGATAATAAATAGAGGGTATGGAAATACCACTGTAGTTTAGGTTAATCTGGCATCTACGGCCGGCATATGGCAAAATCCTATTGTAGAAACTTGGTTTCTGTAAAGGTATCAGAATCATAAACTTTAAGGCACAGAGGGGAAGAATGCACCGGGAGGTGCTGCATCAGAGGGCAGAAAGGCAGTCACTGATTTGTTATTACTTCAAATCTTTCTTTCCTACGTATTTCAATGTACAGATAGATTATTGTCTTGTATATACCACAGACCAGTTTGCAATACTCTTTCAATTATATTTACAGCCTATGTGCTTGGTTGCATTTATGTTTCCCTGATGCTCTTTGTGATCATTCTTTTCAGAGCTATATGAATGTGTGCATCTTGTGTGTTTGCAGAGCATCTAATTCCTCCTTTATGTATATTTGCTCTCAAAGAAACTATTCTCATTAACCCCGACAAAAGAACATTAAGTTACAGGTTCTTTGTAGGGGACTTAAATTCACATTCAAACCAAGTAGTCAGGCCTGATCGTGATTACAGTTTACTAGGTAAGGTGAAATAAGCTGGAAAACTGCTTTTTGATTCCTGAAGAAAATACAAGTAAAATAGTAGCATTTGTATTTTCTATGGAGTGTGCATATTTCTTTGTAGCTGGTGAAACTACAAGAAGTAGTCGAAAAAAATAAAGTCTAATCATTGAAAGTTTGAGAAGAGTTGCAGATTAATCTCGTTCTAAGCCATGCTTGTCTGATACAGGTCTGATATCCACTGCTGGTGAAATTCAGCTCATGTTATCTAAGTACAGAAATGCACACTGTGATATCCTGGTCCTAGCAAGACCGCCAGCCACAAAATGAGAAACCATGTTTAGGACATAGGGACATACAGAGAAAGCAGTTCAGCAATTCAGCTACCCCTTATTAACATTCAGTTGCTATTTCAGAGGTAGTGCAGATCAATGTGCATAAAATGCTACCATCTGGTACATGTAATTGCTGTGCTATACTTCAAAAAGGAATGAAGAAAAATAGCTACCACAGCGCTACAGACCTGTAGATTGTTTTTAAGTAAAAACTGCTCAGTGCCTATAAAATAAACTTTCAGTCATTGTAACATGCCTATATTGCAGGAACTAGACTGCCTCAGTAGAATGATTTATGATTAATAGATGGACCTATTGTTTGCATGGTGGTTTATTTGGTTTAAAATAAAATAACTTCTTATCCCAATACTGGATAATTACTCAGTGTTCATTAAAAATCTGTAGAACTCTTGAGAGCAGGAGCTTAAAGATCTGTGACTGTAATGAAAGCAGGATAAATTTTTCAAACTCTTGTTTGCTGGTTATTTTTGCCCTTCCCAACATCCCCCCTCAAACTACCTTAAGAATAAATGTTACAAACTGTATTAGATCCAAAATCTAACTGGGGGCTGCACAGATGTAAATTAGTCCTGTCATCTGGTTATTAAAAGACTTTTGAATACTCCACTGAGAAAAATAAATTCCTGATGCTCTTAAGCCATTTGCCAATGTTTAGCGTGTTGTAGCTTTGATTAATAATTAAGTTTGTATTAAAAGGAAAATCTCAGATGTCATTGTTTTTCATTCTATGTTCTGGTGGCATAGCACGCTTAAATCAACCATGCTGCTCATCATAATTGCCAGCACAACCTGAACAAAAGACAAATCTAGCGCTATTTCTTGGTCTGGAGTATAGGCACAGGCTGACTTGGGATTCTCATTTATTATTGAAGCCTTTCACAGCAAATATTAAACTGTACTTTTGTATAAAAAGCATCAAACAATGGGAGAGGAAGGGGGAAGAAAATCTCCTCTGTAGCACTATGACATATTTGCTAAATTCTATGTAGTATAACCAAATAAACCCACAGAACATTCAATTATGGCTAATTATGGCTGAGTGTATGAAAACAGTCCACATCATTAATTGGAAATAGCAAAGGATGAAAGGCGACTCATTCTGGTGTCTGCAGAGCTGATGAGAGGTGTTACTTTCCTGACAGTAAAGGCTTGGAATTCCCACTAAAATTAAATGGAGCCTATATTGCAATTTCACAGTCATTTTTGTTCTTAATTAGCAGTTACATTTTGATAGACAATTTGAAAGCTTGTAATAGTTCCTCCTGGTGGAAATGCTTTTGTTGGAAGAAACCTGGCTGGACTATTATTATAAAAGCAATCTGCATTTGTCATCCTTAAATGGGCATTTTAAACAGTTTCTTTGAAATCAGAATTTTGTGCCTGTTCATTAGGCATTGCAGGTCACTTTGCTAACCCTTCATCTTGATCATATGGCAGGATCCATCAAATCTTCCTTTACACCAGAGTAGCTTTTCAATAGAACCAGGGGTGTGGAATCTCATCCTGGGTGAACCTGCACTAAATGTTGGGATCCCACAAGAGTGAGAGGTGTCAATGGTGCCCTCTTTGGTTTTTTTTTTATATGACAGGAGGGTGAGCCCTTTCCACTGTGTGTCGCATTGAGAGAACATGGTTCTGCTTGTATTGTTTATGTATGATGGAGGTAGGTCGGTGTATTTACACCCATGTGCTGCAGCTTCTTTGCCTCCCATTTTGTTTTACAATATACTCTTAGTTTCTAACCTTTCCTATAGTAAGGCAACTGGTTTATAATACCTGCTTTTTGTCTCTTTTCCATTTTTGTCTCTTTTTCCATTTGAGCTGAGAAAACAAAAGATCATTGATGAGCCCATTCTGTCTAAAAATTAAGTCTGCCATAATTAGCTCTGCTTTGTATCTCCTTTGCAAAACGTTGAGTCTGTCATGTTGCTAAAGTGTTTTAAAGGAAGAAAGTCAAATAGCTGAAAAGCTACAATCACGACAACATTAGAGCTGTGTTATTGTTGCAGAATTTGGATTGTGTTTATGTGAAGCTGTTCCTAAATACTTGAATTTACTGCTTATAAGACACTGAAGAGATTTTGGCAGTATTTCACAGGAAGACAGCAGGACCAGAAAATGTTCCTAGCTGAAACTTATTTTGGCTTCTGTTTTGATACTGGCTCAATATTTGCAGCATTGGGGTTGAGAATTTAAGCGTTAAGGATGTGGATCCATGCAAAACTAGAGTATTTTTTTCCATATTTAAAATGGGGGAAGTTGTATCCAGACATAACCTCTGTATATGTGTAGAAATTCAGTGCTGAGCCCTGTACCATATATTTTTCCTAGCTATAATGGCTTGTTTGACGGTTACTGGTCTACATCTGGCTGTGGTATTATTTATGTTACTGAAACTTGCTGCAGTTAGACTATAGAGTCATCGTTCTTGTCGCTCCATCTTCCTGTTGGTTAAGAGTTTCTTTCCCTGTCTTCTTAATTTTCATCTATCCTTCAAGGTTTCTTCTCCACTGGCACCGAAATGTTTTAATTTTGCTTTTTCTTTCTACCTGAAAAGAGATTTTGTAATAGTTTGGGATATTACAAGTAACAGCGTGTAGCCAGAAACTGCACATCAGAAGTAATTTAATTTCAGAGGCTTCCTGGTGTTCAAAAACGGAAGAATTTCTGTTCTACCAGTTAGGTTTTCATCAGAGTCTCATGATTAAGTTGCAGAGCGGTGGAGAGTCCAGGACTGCTCATAAGAAGATAATAATGTTTTTTACTTCAGAGAAGATGCAAAGCATAACTAATTTGTCCTTGTATGGCCCTTTGAGATCCTAGGGGAAGTTTTATGTGTACTGCTATTACTTGTAATAACAGACATAATCCCGTTATATTAATAAGAGCTGTCCAACAACTAGAAGTGTACATGAATACTCCTGGTGACTGTATTAAAACATCAAACTAAATGTATGTAAATATACAAAGATGAAAGTTTGAAAACCTGATAACAGAATCAAAAGCAGCCAAAATGCTTTTCAAAGGCATAACTGTGACTGCCTGAAATAGCCATGATTCCTATAGCTTTCCCATGGTCCTCTCCAGTCAGTTTTTCAAACATAGCAGCTCACTTTTTACAGTTACATAACCTGAGGGTGTCTTTTTTTCTTGACATTGCATTGACATTGGGGTCGAGTAAAACAACATTTCATAATGGATGAGTTTTGTAAAGGATAAAGCCTGTCCTTGTGCGTTATCCTTGCTGTGCGCTGTATTTTTGAAATGGAGTTGTTTCAGTGCCAGCCAGTTTCATTTCCCTTGAAGTGAGTTTGTGGCTCTCTTGGAGATCATTTGGTGACTTACTGATAGAAACGAGCATATTTTTTCTCTCATGGCCTGCTTGGGTTAACCTTTTGGGGTCCTTGCATTTCAAGCCAGACCTGTGCAGGAGGCCTTAGTGTGGAAGGGGTGGTCCCTGGGGCCTGTTCAGAGGGGCTTGCTTGTTGGTTCACAGCTTCAGCAGGCTCTCACTTGTATCGTGCTTGCTTTGCTGTCCACATAGTGTAACCTGTGGAAGAGAAAATAAGGTTAGTTGTGTCATTTGATCTACACCCAGTTCTTGTTCTTGAGTCAACAGTGAATAGTCTCACTGACAGAAGATTGTAAGTATCAAGGCTGATATACTGCTAGTACAACCTATGCTTATTCCCAGGAGAGAGTAGTCACCAGAACAAAAAGCTGTATGCCTAAGAAGCTACGCCACTTTAAAAATCGTGTGTGTCTCAGCAACTGCCACTAGCTCCCATGCATATCCTGCCTTCATCTATCAGTCTGTTCACTGCTGCACCCCTCGTTTTCTCATTCCTGCTATCTTGCCTCTCATTGTGGAGCTGGGGAAGAAGGGAGGTGGAAGGTCTCTTAAGAGGTCGATCCATTAGCCATAATTTTCTTCCTGAGTGCCTTGCAGGAAATCTGAAATACACAATGGCAAGTAAAATGTGGAAAACTCTCTTAACTGAATTATCAGTATATTTACTGAATTATCAGATGTATTTCTGGTGGCCTTTCTCCATTCCATGCACAACTGCATAACCTTGCTGCTGCTAATCTCTTTGCTTTTCAACTTGTTCAAAGCATTCACTGTGAAACCTCCTATAGCTTTATATTTCTGGGTTTTGTGCTGTAATTATACTGATAATTCAGCTAAGATTAGAGCACAAATTTTCTCTGCTATAAGCTAATTTTGCTACTTACCTAGCTTCCCAACACTCCTTGCATAGCATACATCGCTGAGCGTGCTAAAGCCACACAGGCTGTGGTCGCTTGGCTTACCTCTCAGACTGCTCCTGCTCCCCTGTTGCCTTTATCTAGGGTCTGATCCATTCAGGTCTGTGGCTCTGGCTTACAAATCCACCCTCCACCCAGCGGTCAGCTTACAGCTAGTGCTGCTGCCTGCATGGTACAGGTTCTTCATCTCCTTCCTTCCTTCCCCTGAGAACAATATCCAAGCAGTATCCCCCATCCTGTTCCTTTTTTAAAGTGCTAAATAATGCTACTTGAGAACTCCAGTTTGCCTGGATTTTTTTTTCTTCTTGAAAGCAAGTGTGAGAAATGTATTAATATTTAATCCTAACAATTTGGAAGAACTTGAAGCTACAATAAGATAGCCATGGCCATCTGTTGTGAGCAGCAGAACAAGAATTTATTTAATAACTTGGAAAGAGAAGAGGGACTGCCAATCACCTATAGATTTATTCCTTAATAAAGCTTGCACAGTCTCTGCAGAGAGAGATCCAGGTGGTGAAGGAGACGCTCCAGACAGTGCTCATGCAACTTCAGCCAGCAAGGGAGGCAGAAGAAAAGGCTGGAGACTTCCTCTGTGACAGCTGGTGTCCAGGAAAACAAGACTTGAAGGAATAATGAGCAGAAAGAGCTGGTAGGATGACATTAATTCACAAAGGGCTGCTTTTAGTAACTGAATACTGTTTTACCAAGCCTCAGGGATCTCTTCTCTCCCTGCATAACTAATAACTAAATCAATTATGGAGCAACAGAGCCTGGAGGTCTATCATCAGAAGTATGCTACACAGCCTCACATGTTCTGGCACAGATTGGGAAACAGCTTTCAGAGCAGAGCAGCCCCTGTAAATGTGTAGATTACAAATTGATACATTTCAAGTGAGTCTGCAAAGTTGCCTTTAATGTCAGTGAAATGTTCTCCTTGAAGACTCATAAACAGTATCTGTCTTCCTTACTCATGGATTTTTATCTCTGATTTAAAAATGTAGCATTAAAGCTGGAACATTAAGTATTTCTTGAAAACTAGCTGTAAGAACTTTTTTTTTTCCCTCTTCCTTTGGCTTTAACAGCTTTCTTACACTGAATGCATTTTCACATTCCTGCAATAATTAAATCAATAGGATGAAATTCAAGCTAACAGCATTCTTTCAACTGAAATTTGGACCTCATTTACTCAGTGGTATTGAGTACAGTGGAGGTAACTAACAGCAACCCCTATAGCGGTAGCTTAACGCGCTTCATTTATGTATTAATATAAACTTGCTTTAGTATTACAGGGGTTGTAAAGCACAAAGTATTATTACATTGGTAATTTGTCTACCTTAAATACTGTATGAATGCTATGTCATTATGTCTCCTTGTAAAGATTATTACTACTATTATATTACTTTGATCTTCCTTATAAACTTCAACAGGAATGCAGATTTTTTTTTTGCTACAGACAGGTATGGGTATATATACGTAAACGTGTATTTTTATAGGAAATAAAACCGATGCTCAACTGAAGCCAACTAATATAAATGATCTATACTTAAATCATTGTTCAAAACAGTTAATGCCTTTAGGAATTCATCATGTACCCTTACCTGGATACCAGTGTATCTCTGATGTCACAAAAAAAATCTGCTTCTGCCATTTTTTTGCAGGGGGAGAATTTAAAAGGAAAATCTGGTTTGTTTTTTTTTTATTAAGCCAATAGATGAAGAAAACATCTTGTACCTCAGTACTGTATTTTTTATACCATTGCTCTGACATTTTTAGGATTACTTTTTTCTGCTTCTTCAATTACTCATTTTACAGCCACATTGTGAAGATTCTGACAAATTCTGAAGGTCATTGGACTACTAGCCCACTAAGATTGTGTTCAGTTTCTTTGTTGAGTTTTAATACTAGTTGAAACTTCTACCTCAATGTTAAGGATAGAAGGGAAAAAAGTTCAAGGCAGCCAAGACATACAACAGGATTATAATTGCATCTAGGAGCATACGGTTGTCAAAGCAAAGCTCAGGTGGTTGCTGTAGTCATCAGATCCTCAAGGTGGAATTACAACTAAACTAAACTAAGCCAATTCAGATTTAGTTGTAATTCAGAACATCGTTGATTTTTCTCTTTGTGTAAAACATGAGCCAGCATCCTTGTTGTGGTAAAGACTTTTGTATCTTCACCTTGTCTGGACTGTGCCACTCAATTCCCATTCCAATCCCCAATCTCTTGCTGCTCCTCTCTTTGACCAGTTGCTTTCTCCAAGCTTTTCTGGACACTCCCGGTTCAATACCTACCTCCGTATAACAGATTTGGCACTTTCTGAAATGCACCCAGACAGATAAACAAGGCGTTTGTCTCCAGCTCAAGACAGCCCTATCAGCATGGGTAGCAGCCTATGGCACCCTGATGTTCACCCCATGCACAGGATCAGCTCCCATCCTCTGGAACCCACCTGAGTTCAGGTAAACAGCAAAGAAAGCACACTGACAAGACCAGTCTCTTACAGCTGTTTCCTTAAGACCTGTAGAACCTCCTTGTGGGTTAACACCACAGAGGGCCCAGGTACTGAGTTTACAGCTATGAGCTCTTATATAGGATGATGACAAGATGATGGCCAGTACACTAAGGTTGCATGACCCTCCTCCCACAAGCTGAGGGGTGTGCAGAGTTTTGTCCTCTGAATAAGTAGTGCCCACAATGTAAACAGTTGGCAGGCCCTGTAAGTAAGTGCCTCAGAGCCAGCTAAGCATGAAGTCTGCCTTGCTAAAAAACCATCACAGGGGCAGGAGAACAGCACCTTCATTCTCACTGCCCCTTTCTTGAAGACATTCCCACTCAAGGAAAAAGCCTGTGTGGCTTTTGTGTTTCAGAGCACTGCTGCATTTTAATAAAAAACTATGCAACCACTTTATTAAGACACTGAACTCCTGAGGAGAAGGAAAACAGAATCAGTCATCACTCATGTCATATTTGTCTCTGTTAACATTTATTTTATACATAATGTGGACTACTACTACTTTAATTTATTATTCCATTAACTTCACTGTTTGTTGTGGGAAGTTAGAGCCAGTAATCATTCCTTTTCTCAGACATGCTGTATAATAAGCATACTTAAAAGAAAGTTATACTATGCAATGTATTAGCTGCCTTTTATTGGTGGGTAGAAAACTTTCAAATAAAGAGAAAAACTTTTTTTAACTAACCCAATGCCTGTTTGCATTCTGTGCAGTGTACAAGGCTTTAGAAATTTCATCCTGGGAGGTGGGTGTGGATGAAGAGGGGAGGAGAGGAGAAAGAAACCATGTGTGTGCTGTTGACAGCAGCAATGCCTCTGCTTGGGAAATTCTGTGATGCCTTCTGGAAGCAGTCTATAAAGATGCATTCAAGACCAGAGTCTCACAGCAAAATGTAGCTATTTTCATTGTGAAAGGAAGAGAAATAGCATGCTGTGAGCTATACAGACAAATAAACCTGCTGCGATGAGAAGTAAAAGAGCATCTGTGGTATCCCAAGGACGTGTTTCACATATGCTTGCTAGGACTCTGTCACCTCCAGGTGAACTCAAGTCCTACCACCTGCAAGCAATGAATCTCAACAGAAATAAGCCTCTTTCTCATTTTGGAGCAGGGTGCTGTCCTCATCTAAGACCCCAAGCTCTCAAAGTTTTGAGGAGTACACAGACAGGCATACAGGCTTTGTGTGTTAAGCCTTCGCACATCAAAGGAATCATAGAATTGCTTAGGTTGGAACCTTCACCAGGTTCTTTGCTCTTCCAAGGCACATGCAATAGACTGCTTGAGGAAAGGTGCAAGATGAGGAAGTAGCTCACCTCAAGCAGTCTGTTGCATGTGCTTTGAAGGAGGAGGAGTTAGTTATGTTTAATGTGCACCACCACCCCAACCCATGTACAGACATACTGAAGGGACTAAAGGAGAAAGCAAAGAGGGGACAGCATTCAAAGGGTGTTTAGCTCCAGTCCAGTATTTCCTTTCACAATCAATTAGCTAATCCATTCTTTCTAAAGCATGACAGCTCAGACTTTTGCTATCATTACTTGTTAAATCAAGATAAGCACATCTATTCTAGAGCACTGGAGAAGGCAGTTCAATAACAGATCCCAGATAGTGCTGGAGAGAGCTCCAGGGTAAGATTAGAATAATCCTTATGTGTATCCTCTTAGTTTACTGTCCTATTATAAATGAGATTGGGACCAAGAGATTTATTTTTTTTTGTCTCCGAGATTAACATGCTACAAAGAAGCTCTAAAATACTATGCACATGTGGATATTTTCTGTACTGTTCATTAAGAAAGATAATAGAAGTTTCTAGAGAGATTAAAAAAAAAAGAAAAAGGAAGAAAGGCCTGTGAATATAGGAGATTCTTTCTGAACCCCCAAAGCAGCCAAGCCAGCAGCCACAGTAAAGCATTTCTCTTAAATTTCTAACGAAGGCTTGAATATGAGGTCTGGGAAAAGAACATCTGGGGTTGAGTGAGTAAGGAAATGTCTGAGTTCTTCACATGCATGGCATTTGGCCACTCTTTCCTGGTTTTCTTGTCTGGAAAAGCAGTGTCCTACAGAAGGGGGTGTTGCGATATTGTCAAAGACACATACAAGGTCAGTACATCACTAGGCTATTTGTTCTTATAATCATCTGCAAAGTTGAACAAATAGTTTATAATAAGCAGCTACATAGGAATACTAAGTGGAAAATGAGAGAAAATATTAAAATAATCAGAGTCACAGCTAGGAGACACATGATAGGTCTCACTGGAGAAATGGAAAATTAAGAGACCTTTCCACAGTGACAGTCCAATTTACAATAAGAAAACAACCTCATATGTATTACTTTTCTGACAATGAGACTGTGAAACACCAAAGGAAACATTTATGGGTTTTCTTACCAAGTGGCTCAAGATTTTTATGTGTATCAGCTCGATTCTAAGACCTATAACTTGTGCACACTCTCAGGCTTCCCTCTAGAAGCACCCCAGTGCCAGCAGCCTGGAGCCAGGCACAGCACTGGATATAGGAGCTCCTCCAGGGCTGCACTGGGAGTCAGTGTCACAGGAACTGGGTTAGAGATACCAGGGCCAACCTGTTCCACTCCTTGGTGATTGGGAGGGGCAATAGGGACACATCCATCTCACTATTTCTGTGCTCTTCTAGAAACTTTTAGTTTCATTTTCCTGTTGTTTAAAGCACATTTTCAGAAAGTTCCGTGTGCATCCTCCATGAAATAATTTGAAAGGACCAGGATTAGTTTCTCCTTCCTCTAATACAGTAAGGTCAGGCGACGAGACCTGATTGTTCTCAGCTGTTGTCTGATGAGTTTGGATCAAAGTTTACTCCTGTAATTTCATTAACCAGAGTTCCTGGAGCAGCAGCTGACTGGTTGACCAGGCTATTTTCCTCCAGTTAAATGGGCAATGCTGAAGAGCAAGAACATGGTATTGGCACCTGCACACAGCACTGACAAGACTTTACAAATGGTGCCAGCTCTACTGTCCCCACAAAATGAAAGTGGACAAGGTTTCAGGTAAAGTGCAAGAATGGCTGAGGTGATAGATTAGGAAAATCTATCTCACAACAAATCAGCAAAGCTGAGGACCAATAACTTAGCCAGCTAAAGACCAAAATGTGACCCACTCGCATCCTTTAGTATTTACACTGGGAAAGATTTTCAGTGCCTACTGGCTATTTCATTTGGCAGAATCCTCCACAACATTGAAATAAGACATTTATAGGGAGGGCGAGAATTGACCATTGGAGCAAAAAACTGTCTCAAAGTTAAAGCAAGCTTGGGGTTTCATTTTTTCCTTCTCTTCTAAAATTGTGAAGAAAACCCTCCTGCATCCCAGATGTAACACATTTGATTCAGGAAGCACTACAATGCAGTTTCATACATGCACGATTTGGATGCCACTGACAAGTAGGCACAGTGCTTTGCCTTAAATATAGGCATTTTCTTTAGTGTCTTTAAAAATAAAAAGGACACAGAAAGAACAAATGCTTTGATAAACTGTTGTTTAGCAGCAGAGGTAGAGTTGGCAGACAGGGCAGCTGGATGTCTGCAAGCTGGAACAACCTATTTACCTACTCTCTGATCTTGACCTTAGCTCAAAAGGGCAAGTGAAACCAAACATTAAGGAAGGGCTTATTGTAAATCTTTCCTGGGATGCCAAGACTAAAGCTATTACAAAATGGTTCAGAGCCTGACTAGGCCAGGAGCCAAGGGTTTCAAGCCAAATTCCCTCTTTCCTCAGGGCCAGCAGGTTAAATGTGGCTGGGGGCACATTTCATGATGTAGCACCAGGCAGGATGGGGTGATGCCGGCACTGGGCTCGTGTCTGGGAGCAGAGACATTGCTCAGCCCTCACACTGTGCTCCAGCCTAACAGGCAGCACATCTGTTTACAGCACTGCACAACATTCTCTGCAAAAGAAGAAAACTCAGAGAAACTGAACCAGCACCGTAGCCATCAGGCATTGCTTATTTTGGCTCCAGTGCTGGCATTTGATCAACCTATTGCCACTCGTTTTCATTAAGTGAGAAGGAAAAAGTGAAGAGAGCACCCTGCCTCTCACAGCCATACGTGATTTGTCATTGCTAATTCTCTATAATGAGCTGTAGCAAGTGAAACCAGTCTATTTCCATTAATCCTGACAGGAAATATTTCTTCTTTGTC